ACCATAACCTGAAGCAGAACCTGGAACATCAAAAAACGGCTCTTTTAGGAGCCACCACACCCTGGTTGCGTCTTTAGGACGTTTCCAGGTCGCTAAAAATGGCTCTTTTAGGAGCCGCCACATCTGCAAAAGTCATGATCAACATATGAGCTGCTCTTCTAGATTTAGTATTCAATAAAGTTTGTTGTTATTTTGCCGCGAGGAAACTGGGTAACATAATTCAACCGAATATTGAATAATGAATAAAGGGGTAAGTTTCTAAAGAAACTGTGGTGCTGCGTCGGTGGGAGAGTATAGCAGGTAATTTAGTGTTAACAACTGGGTTGAAAACGTAAATTAGCCACCGTAAAGGGTAAAAAAGCTGACGTTTCGAGCGTTAGCCCTTCGTCAGAGCGATTAGAGGAATTGTGGGTTGTGTGTGGATTTATATGTAGAAAGTGGAGCTACGCCATTGGTGGGAATATGGTGAGGAGAAAACAGGAATAAATTAGTTGAATGAAAAGCGCTCGTTGATTCCGTGGGGATTAAGGGTGCCGATTTGGAATATAAATTTTTGTTCTAATGTTTTACGGCTTTCCGAACTGCCTAGATGTAAGGAAAGGCCACAAACTGCCATATGCTGTTTAGAATGATAAGGAAGATTAAAGTGGCTAGCGACTGGTTTGGATGCGTCCTTGTCATTTCTTTCCACATCGTGAAGGTGTTCTCGGAATCGGTCACCCAGTCGTCTTCCTGTTTCGCCGATGTACAACTTATTGCAATAAGTGTAAGTTATGCAGTAAATAACATTGGCGGAGGTACACGTAAAGTGATAAATGATCTCAATGGATCTTTTGGGTCCCGATATTTTCTCTATTTTCTATTTTCAAGGAATCGATTGGTTCAAACTGTTAACTCTCCTTGGGAAATATGGAGCGTTATTAGGGTCAAATTTAGAAAACAAATTATGTTATGGTGTTTGATATTTCATTCGGCCGAACTACAGAATTATGTTCCAGCGTTGCATGGAATTATGTTCGGCTCTTTTAACTTCAATAAAAAATGCAATAAACTATGTTCGGCTCTTTTAGAATTGTGTTGGTAGTATTTCACTTATATTTAGGCTGGCAGTTTTTTTGAGTTTGGTCCAATTTTGTTCGGCTCCTCCGAAGTACGTTCGGAACGCGGCTACTCGAATTATGTTTGACAAGTAGACTGGTAGGCTCGCGATAAGAAATTCACGAGGAGTCCCGGGGCGAGAAACATTTCCCGCGCTCTCTATAATTTATTCTAATTATTACCAGTGTTTGTGTACTGTTCTGTCGAACATGGCGGACGAGTCGATTTCTGTAGAATTAAGCAGACATGTAACTGATATAAGTTGTCTTCAACGAAGTACTGGTCAGAATGATGTAATACAATTCCGCCTCGACTGGTTATACAATGCTGTTGTACGTTATTGTGACAATATCCCTTCTGGGGAGGCAGTACTGGCCCTTATTCAAGAAGCGAAAGAACTGCTAAGAGAAAATGAGAATGGTAGTTGTAGTGAGAACGTCGCGTTTCAAGCAGAGGTTGCAACTACTGGCGAGCGAGGAAGACCATGCATTATCAAAGGATCAGCTCGAGTTTTTGTTAGATTTGGGGTTTAAATCCGGAGAGATTGCATCTCTGCTTGGTGTCAGTGAAAGCACTGTTAAACGAAGAATTCGTGAGTATGAAACATTTGTGAGGCAAAGATATTCAAATATTTCTGATGAAACTTTGGATGGCCTTGTTGAAGAATTAATGAGAGAGTTTCCCAATTGTGGCTACAAGAGGATGACAGGCCTCTTGCTCAATTCAGGTCATAGAATCCAGCAAAATCGCATCAGGGAGTGTATGAGAAGAGTCAATCCCGAGGGCGTCCTCCTGAGAGTCCTTGAGCTGCGAACTGTTCGCCGGAGAAGATATCAAGTTAGTGGCCCTCTTGCCTTGTGGCATATCGACGGGAATCATAAACTAATAAGGTAAATGTATGAAACCTCGTTATATGCCAAGCAGTTCACACCTTGTGTACGGTGAGAACTGTACACAAGGTATGAACACTAACAAAACTAACGATATCTAACAATTTTGAAGTCGCAAAAACTTACCTGCACATTGTTCCACCATTTGGTGGTTTCTATACTTATCAAACACAACGACAAGGGTATGGGTGGTGGGGTCGGAGAGTCATCAGAGACCAGGATAGTTAAAGGTTTTGACTGTTTGTTAATTTTCAGATGGCGATTTGTAATACATGGCGGAATTGACGGCTTCTCGAGAATGACTGTTTTTTTGAAATGCAGCACCAATAACCTGGCAAGTACGGTACTCGATTGCTTTCTCCAAGCAGTTGGGAGTTTTGGTCTACCTTCAAGAGTACGGTCTGATAAGGGTGGCGAGAATGTAGACATTGCACGTTACATGTTGAGTCACCCGTTACACGGACCTGATAGAGGGAGCCATATTGCTGGGCGAAGCGTACATAACCAAAGAATAGAACGTCTTTGGAGAGACCTTTTTTGTGGATGTCTTCATGTATACTACAACCTTTTCTATGCAATGGAACGTTCTGGAATGCTTGACGCATCAAATGAGCTTCATTTATTTACCCTTCACTTTGTGTATGTTCCAAGAATTAACCAAACAATGCAATTATTTGCCCAAGGGCATAACAGGGCTCCCATCTCTACAGAGAGGGGAAAGAGTCCTCTTCAACTGTGGATCTCTGGTGCTGTCTCAGCTTCAAATCGTGGAATTGATGAATTCTGGAGTCAGGAGTGTTTTGAAAAGGGAAGGGTGGGGAGGGAGGGATAAGGACTTTGCAAGAATCTGTTATAGTTTTGATATTCATGCAATGTTATAGTGATTTTCAGACTTGTTTCTCATGTTATCCAATTTGTGGTCGATACAAGTGGAGAAGTACAACCTTTCAGCTTGTTTCCAAAAGTGCAGTCACAATAGTAGCTCTTACATGTAAAGTAGCTTGGAGAATAAATCTACCTGAGTAGTCTTCATGAACAATTTTCTTCCAGGATTATGAAGAAACAATAACAGATTAATTGCAATTTTTTTTATTAACAAGAAGTACGTCGCAGTAAATTGGTTCACAACATGCGTGTGGCATACAGCCATCATGAAATGTGTTGTTTACATGTTTTTCAGGGTGACTACTATGGTGTTGACTGGGATGGCCCTGCACCAGATGTTAGCTTAGATGATGAAACTCCAGTTGAAGTTCCCAACACAACAAACCCACTGGAACCAGCTCAGTACTCATCACTCACAAACTTAATTAACCCTCTACGCAACAGTGATGAATATGGAGTTGACATCTACCTATTTCTTCAAGAAACAGCAACGAGCAGTTAAAGATTTAAAAAAAAGGGACAAATTATATGAATGAAATGAGTTTAATAAAACATCCAAATATGTACCACCGTTAAAAAAGGTGCAAGAACTTGTAATTACTGATAATGACATCCATTTCTTGAAAACACTAATGGTCTGTCACATCCATTTTTTAACTTAGAAAGAGTTCTTATATTTGCTTCTAACAAATGCTCGACTAAACCAAAACATTCCAAAGGTGGCCTCCCTTACCAAAGCAAAAGTATGGGAATGGTATGGGACTGCTTGGACCATATCTGACCCATAGATGGGAATGGTATGGGAAGGTAACCTGGGTATATGGAATTGGTATGGGGCCAAATTTTACCAAATTTTTAACTATGGGACATGCATGGGAAGAAAATAGAAGGCTTCTTATTTTATGGGAAACCTATGGGAATAAGGTTCCCATACACATCCCATACCAATAAGAATTCCCCCAACTGTCCTTACCTATGGCATTGATATGGGACATTCATTATGAAGAGTATACCATAGATTACCCATACCAGCTGACAGGTGTTCATCATGCCCCATAGATTTCCCATTGTGAAAACTGTATGGGATCTCTATGGGACATTCACATATTTCATATTTCCATATTTCAACCATTTCAGCTCTTGTTTCCCAAAGATCTCCCATGACAGTAGTTCTATGGGAAATCTATGGGACATATCTATGCTCATAATGGCAATGGGAAAACACATGTCCACACATTGAGTAATTGACAATTTTATTAATTGGACTGAGACAATAATGTCCTCTATTGTAAACAGAGAGCAAAAACCATTAATTATTCTGACAGGCTACACTTTTTTTAACTGAAATGACCATAAAAGTCTAAGAATATTTTACATGAGTCAAGAGATAACTTTGCAACACTCTGACATGCTTCCCTAATAAAAATAGATGAAAATTTCATTCAAGTTTCTGTTCACCTATGCATTGTCATTGTGTTACATGTCATAATTCAAGTGTTAACTTGAGTTTTATGAAACTTACAACAATATCAACATGCATATACTGCATCATACTTTGTTGAATAATAGATCCTTCTCATTGTCACCATGAACTGAAGGCCTTTTTTCAAAAAAGTTTTTCATGTTTGAAAAATTAAGTTTGGTAGCAAAGATTCAAGGCTTTATATTAAATGAAATCTTTGCAGACTGTAAGTAGGAAAATAACAAGCTACATGTTCCTTATTACATGAAATCTTTGCAATGCCTAAACTTTGCGAATTTGGCAATTAATTTTAAAATATTGAAAAGTTTAAGTGGCATGAAAAACAAGTTTTGTGTACATAACATGATGTGAAAATTATGTGATGCATTAGGTAAAAATCAAGAAAGAATAAGTCCAAAAGAAAATGAAAAGTGAAGTTAACTTTGAAGATGTGAGTGTCAACGGACCTGAAGCTTGATAACATAATAGTTTTTGAAACTTATTTGTACAACAATCCTTATATTTAGGTCAAATAATTTTTACAGTAAATTGCCAAAAAGGTAAATCACCTCACTGATAAACACAGAATAAAAGTGACTCAAAATACAAAACCTTTTGCAAAATTGTGAAATGCATAAACCTCAAAATCACAAAATTAATGTGGTGCGAAAATTTAATGTAATAAGGCTTCAGCCCTCTTAACTCGGTGAAATCGGTACTTTAGTCCATCAACAAATTCTGAATCTGAAGAAAAAGAGACCCTTGTATAAAACATAGCTGAACGTTCTTGATGTAGAGGGCATACTAGCATTTTACATTTCCCTGTAATCTATGCTTAAATTGTATTCAGTAACAGCTCATATGCAAAAGAGGCATGCATTAATTTTTGCAGTTCCAGGTTCAAATCCCTGTATCAGAATGCACATGATTTGTGTGAAATCCCCACCTCCCCGGACCCAAAAAACTGTCCATTGATGTCGATTGACTTGCAAATGACGTAGGTGTCCAATTACAGGTATCCGATTTGAAGTATGCAGACATTGGATACCAGTACATGTACAGTACCAACCTGATCATGCACCAATTACATGACAAATAGGCCTCTCCAGAACCAGAATTTTGTTATAGCTAATGAAAATAATAACGATATTATGTTATAAATTATGACGACTGTTGGACTGTGGTAGTAGCATTTGAAAATACTTGAAAAGTGGCTGGGTATTCTGAAGTTTAGCCAATAATAATAAACACAATTACATACTTAGTCTTGCACTTACCAGAGAAAAACTTAAGCAGCTGATTTTCAATAGGCACTTCAATGAAGAATCCACCGTTGTTTTGGATGCTTTTGCCACAAATGGTACAGTTTCCTTTGACATCTTTGCCATAATATGCCTTGCAGAAACCACAGAAGTAATGCTTGACAACATTTCCCTTCGCTCTGCTCAGAAATTGGAACAGGTTGTTTACTGTTGTCTTGCAGTTGTTAGGCCGGGGACAGTGAGCCTCTATTACTGCAAGCAAATCATTGAATGCTTCACGTGTAAGCTTGTGCTTAAACACGAAAGATAGCAACAACACAACACTTGAGTTACTTGTGATTGGAGCTCCCGAATATAGCATGTCATCTGATTCTGCTCCACAATGTTCTGGAATGCATTCAGTGTCTATTTCATCAGGGTTTTCACAGTCACTGAAAATGTCCGAGCAAGCATCCTCGTCTTTGACAAATTGTTCAAAAGTGTTAGTATCCGCGGAATCAAACAGTTCAAATTCGTCTCCGCTTATCCTCGAATTATTTTCTTCTTCCAATCCAAATGTGCTTGAATCTTCCATGTCTTGCACTTGAAAATAGCTGCAGTCTTCACCTAAAATCATGCTGTTTGTTTCTGCTTCGAATATTTCAGCAGGATCGCCAGTACAAAGAGGCTGTGCATGTCGCGTGTCGGGAATCATTTCTTCAACATCGCATTTGTTTAAATCATTTCGTGTACCAGTTGATGATTGTTTCGCTTTATAGAGGTTGCCTTTTCGTCTTCTTGCCGCTGGAAATTTGTATGGATTAGAATGACGCATGTATTCTCGGTAGCGACCTCTTTGTTTTCGTGCAACCTTCTCGCCATCGTCGGCCATGTTTGTTGACTTAAAGTCTAGTTCCCGGTCCCTCACACGTTAACCCCACACGTGTTGTTATTCAAGTGCGCGTGCGTAGTGGACTTTCGGACTCAACACAAGAACACGTGGTGTTAAATTGACCAATAACGAGAGCCCTTCAGACCCACGCCGAAATGCGCGTCCTTTTCAAATTTTTCACACATTTCGGCAAGCCTTTCTTCAGAGAGTTTGTTACTTATACAGAGCGAGTTTTAAGGTTTGTTTGCCTGTTTCCACTGCAAGAAAAGATGGAAAGAAATTCAAGGAAAAGAAGTGCTCCAGCGCGTCTAAGAGAAGGTAAGCAACTCGATTGAATCGTGTTTATGAAAGCACAAAGTGATCGACAAGCATGCATGTTGTCAGATCAGTGAAAAGAACTCTTTACTGATCAGTCTATCCAAGAGCAAGTTTCAATGATTGTAATCCGAAAAGTATGCCTGTTTACTACGTTAAGGCCGTAAGTACATGCACCTTAGTTGTTTATAATTTTTGCCAAACTATCAAGTTTATTCAAAAGGATTCACTTGTACTCTTGCATGCTTATAGACCTTGCATATGGGGATCCAGTGTCTTCTGGTACCCTCACCAACGGGCCTACTGTTCTGCGTTCAAGTCCTGGTCCGGATATGTCAACGCTGTTGTTGACATATTCTTCACCAAAGAAACACTTGCAATTTCAAGTGCAAGGGGAAGTGACAGAAAAGGCAAAAGCGGTGATGCAAACATTCCGTTGACCCCCCTCATCATTGATGCCCTTGTTGGTAAGTAGTGCAACACTGAATTATTTTATTCAGAAATAAGTACATAACTTGCAGTCATGGGGATCTCTAACTCACTAATTAGAACTTGAATTGACTGGGTTTTTAAGGCATTGTTGTCCTTAAAAAATAAGCAATTTAATACAAACTTGCATGCAATAATTATGATATAGAATTGAAGCAGAAAGAGTTTTATTTGGACACAAAGTACTGGAATCCCAGTAGTTTCCATTGCAGCCCATTACAATTAACCTGGATTGAAACTTCCACAAAAAATGTATAAAACTGATCTAAAGGTTTTAATCTTACTCCCTTAGCCACAGCAGAGATAATTAAGACACCAGTAAATGAAAAAAAAAATAATGTCACTGAGCTTTCAATTAAGTTATTAATTTTATAAATAAAGCAAACAAAACAGAACCCATTACAATTGATTACCTTCAATCAAGCAATTTTTGTTTCTTGGTAAGGCAACATTCCACGTATAAGTTGGGGTACTGTTTTACATGTAAATATGACTTAATATTAACTTAAACTTTTTTTTTCAGGTAAAGTCTGTTCAAATTTTTCAAAGGACTCTCCTCAACCGAGCCAAATCATACAGAAGATAAACATGAAATGTGTGGAAGCTAGAAGGCCCCCAAGAGTACGAGAGCAACGAGCAGAATGAACACTTTTTATAATTACTGTAAAACTGTTTAACTTCAAGAGTTTACCAATTTCATTATGTTGACCAAAAAGAAAATTTCTGTTTGATAATGTTGACCAAAATACAGAATAACAGTTTCATAGTCTTGGCCAAAAATAACAGTAACCGTATTATAGTGTCGATCAAAAAGAAGAGTAACAATTTGACAGAGTTGGCAAGTTAAGTCGTATTGCTTGATAAAAAAAAGTAGTGTTGTTAATGATAGTGTTGAGCGAGAGGAAAACTACCGGTTTCATAGTGTTGACCTAGAAGAAATATAAGATTTTTGGTTTTTTGTTATTTTTATTCAATTTTTTTTGCAAGAAATTTTAGATGCAATTAAAGATATGGTTTCAATGGACGAATATGATGTCACCATTACTTGCCTTTAACCACACAGTCCCTTTAGTAATTTCTGAATCATATGGTAAAGATATGGGGCTGAAGTCAAAGGACCCCATAGTGTTCCCATATGAGATGTCAGCTTTGCTGAATGCTATGGGAATGATATGGAACTTTAAAATCCCATAGCAATCCCATAGAGAATGGTCCAGGGTCATTATGGGAATGGTATGGGATTGTTGCATACCATTCCCCTAATGGATACTATGGCGAATATATGGAACTTTACGAAATACGTAGCAATCCCATAGAGAATGTTCAGCCATCATATGGCATCACTATGGGACTGACCCATACCATTCCCATACCAGATCCTATGGGGAATGTATGGAACTTTACGAAATACGTAGAAATCCCATAGTGAAAGACAATAGAATGCACTTGGCGGGCACTATTCACTATTTATGGGTTTGATATGGGAGCTAACATCCCATATAAAAACCATGCAATGCCCATAGATTAGCCATATGTTGTCCCATACCATTTCCATATTTGGACCATATATGTTCCATATCAACAGCTTTGGTAAGGGTCTTTGGCCCTTTTGCTCTCCAAGTCTGTTAAACATGGTAGGGAGGCATGTGTCTTAGCACCGGTTATAGTTTGGTTTTCATCAACTCCGGCTTAAGCTTATTTTTTCCTGAGTTTTAATCGAAATTTTTCCATCGCCTTTTTGGGGTTCAGGTGCTGTATGGAGGAAAAACTTCGATAAAACTTATTTATCTCACTGGTTGAAATCCACCAATAGAGTTGGTCATAACTAAAACAGTAACAGGATCGTAACCATTTATGGTAAGCTGTTGAAATTGGCAAGAGGCAAGTATATGACCTTACGTACCAAGCAACAAGTAGAGTTGATCATATTTGTTTATTCTTATTTAATAATTTACAAATACTAAGACTATCATTTTTAAACCTTTCTTCTGCCCCCTCCAATTTAAAGCACAAAATATATGCAATTGAGCTTCATATTTTTGTTGGGGGACATTGTTGGCAGTGTGACATGGGTTAGAACACTCGTGTTGTAGCTGTTGTTTGAGGAGAATAGACTCTGTCCTGGACTCTGAGAGATTTTTATAAACATGGAGGACAATGCTTGAGCACATCTCACTTTTAGTAACCGAAGTTGGTTGTGAGAGAAAGAAAACTGTTTAGGTGTGGTGAAAAATGACCTGTAGTGTGATTGTTTATCCTGTTACTGGAAAATGTACTTTGCTTTCTTACTAAGTTCATCAGGAGAAGCAGAACCTTTTGTCTGTGAACGGAGTATGCTATGAGTCTTTTCCATGGGATATTCATCAAAAATGGCAATGTAATTCCTTGGTGGATTATACAGTTGTGGAGCGTGTTTTCCCCAGTGAGAGCACATGTTGATCCAAACAAGTAGTGCTTTGTAATAATGCCGGCGTTGGAGGCAAGTAAACATGATCCAAATCCTGATCATTGCTCTAAAATACTCAGAGAAATTGTTAAGTTTGAAAGAAATGCTGTATATCGACAACACCAAAGGTATAAAGCTGTCTAGTAAAGTGAAAAGGGTCCCATACTCTGCATCTTGAACCGGGAGAACTTTGCCATCACAGTGTGGCGTATAAGTGTCCAACCACCTTACACAATCTCAAGAATCAGACTAATTCTCCAGGGTTTGGGATTATCTGCCATTTTGCTTCTTGGGAAAATTGTTTCATATACTGTTTTGAAAAACGGATGATAGGAATGAACAATATGTTCTTTGCTGTTTAAGGAAATGTGAAGTGGCCCAATAGTTGGTACTAATGACAGAACGGATGACTGTAATGTTGCTTGCGGCAAGTTGTTGTTCAAGAGATTGTCAGTAGCACCAGATGTCATTGGAAGAGAATACGAGGAATGATCAGTTAAAATAGTGTCCTGTTGCAGAGGAGCGTCTGAAAATCCCGGATGAGAGCTGACAAACTTCTTAAGTGATTCGTATATGATTTGTCTACAATAAAATTGGCATGGCCAATCCCTTGGCTGAGAAACAATAAGTTTCTTTAAATAGGCAGCCAAACCATTGTCATTGTCACATCATATGCAGTATCGAAGTCCCCCTTTGACTTCAGTCTCAGTTCTACAAAATCTAATAGGTGCAAATCATCCATTTTGCGCATTGTTCGCACATTGTCATTTTCACAGTATTGATGAATGTTAATTCTGTCTCTCAAATTTAGGGTTAAAATATGTCTTTGTGAGCCAATTAGGCATCACAGAGGCATAACTCTTACTGATGTTGTGCATGGACGATGCAGCAGTAATTAGTTGTATGCATGATTTAATATTTATACCATTTTGGTCATGCGTACAAAGGGCGTGCGTTACATGTACAGTTAGAATATCTTTAAAAGCTTTAATAACTATGGTACACATTGTCTTTGTCTCTGACAATTTTTCCTCCTATGGCCTTTTTGTGTGAATGGCTGTGAAATCATCAATTATTGGCGCTATTAGCCATTTGCGATCTGTAGCTGTGGTTATAAAATCTTCAAAAGATTTGAAATGAGACTGACATTTTGTGCATAGTATTGTTTAAAGTTCTTCTGGAACATGTATGCCCCATAACATGTTCTGTTTCAATGCCCTTTTGATTTATCAGATTACTCCTGAGATAAAGAACATGGTCCATTTGAAGAGGATTGCATGTTTGACTGAGGCAGTAGCACAAATTATAAATAAATGAAACGTACAATTTCACATTGTTGCAAGTCACAATAATTAGGGTTTCATGATGTAAAAACCTCGTGGTAGTTCTCAAAAACAAGTTTCATTACTACTTCTGCCACGGTGTATGATATCATAGCAAGGTTAACAAAACTCTCCTCATTATTTTGATTAAGTCATCTAATTTTATTCAGTCTTGCTCCTTGGGGATACAGGCTATGGAAACAAGTTTGACTTTCATTCTCAATGATACTATCAGTTATACAAGTTCTTTTTTATTGCCTGTAGTAAGAGTCTCGTCAGACCATCAGATTGTTACAGAATGCTTGTTATCTAAAAGTTCCATTCCGTTCAGAAGCTAAGGACGCCTTTACATGTATTCCTCCACAAATGGTGCAATTCTTATATGTCTTGGTTCAGGGGTAGTTTGGTCCAAATAAAGTATTCACATTATAAACTTATACGAAGATGCTTTCTTTTTTTTCAAAGTATATTTATAAGTGTCTACTATTGCTAATTTTCCAAATCTGATATTTCCAAGACAAACGATTGAAAAAATTTTACTTACCCTCTGATAAAATCCGTAATTTTTCCTCCATTTCAATAAACTCTCCCTGGGTACAACTACCATCTCTTTAATGCTGCTGATATCAGACTTTTCTTTACTCAACATTGGTCTTTTGTGTTTAGATATTCTTCCCCGTTGGTTGCGGTTCATGTTAACAAACGTTTGTTAAATTTTAATTTCTGCTTAACCCTTTTCCTCCCATGGGTATGGTAATTAATTTTCGCCAAAAAGACAACACCGTAAATAAATGGTTGTAAGTTGAGCTACATTTAGTCAATTTTCATATATCATAGCTCATTTTGAAGTTTAGAGCATTTTTTTCCCCGGGGAAGCAACAAAGTTTGCCTGTCCCTTGTTATGTAAGTTTCTCACTTTATCCTCAAAGTTGACATATGACAGTAAAAATACACTAAAAAAATCCTTCGTTCACAAGAATTCAGCTCTGAAACCAAAAAAAACTGTCAAATAATAACAGTGGTCATTTTTGTTAAGCTAAAGAAATGACCTTCAAGATAAATCACAAATATTTGTTATATTGATCTAAAAAAAGCTTCTTACGGCCCTCAAACAGTAAGGCAATTTTCATCGTAAATTTTAATTCTATAAATCATTTCAAAAATTAATCAACTGAGGATTTAACAGCAACTTAAATCTCATAAGATATTATTTTTTACCAGACTGATCCAAATAACCTTTCTGAGCATAACTGCTTTCCCAAAGTTTTTCAAATATCTGCAGGTTAATGATTAACCAATCAAAAGAAACAGTCATGTCCATAATCCCATGAATTATGGGTACATACATTTGTAGAATAAACAATCAGAAAACATAATTTTTTGAACAAGGAAACACCAAATAATATCTCTTATAACACAATGTCAGTATGCTGTTGGCAATGGTGTGTCACAACAACAGCAATAAGTGAACAGTTTTTGACAACCAACGGTCAATGTTCCGCTACTTATAGGAGAGTTCACTGCCTCATCTGCCTAGGTCTTCCTCTTACAAAAGGCCTGCCAGGATTCTGAGGTTTCAGACGTGGGGTTGCTGCTCCATATTCAGGGTCATCATACAAATAGTCTTGGAGAGTGTGGTACTTCTCAAAACAAGGGCTGGGGCACATGTGGACTCCACACAGTCCACACTTGTATGAAGTCAACACTCGCTGCAGGTGAACTTTACAAGCACACCGTTTGTCAACTTTGACTGGGAAGTGTCCCAAAGACAGATTCAATCTTGATATTTGAGGTGCAGCAGCTGTGGGGGTAATCTTGTAGCTCCTTCCACCATGTAAACCTCTGATTACCAAAATCCGGAAATCCATCATGCTCAG